TGCTAAACGATTCTCGGAACAAAGTTACGGGACTAATGCCCTTTTGTTATACAACTGCACTGAAGAATCCACCGAACCGTGCAGAACCTCAAATGTGCAGAGGTGGCACAGCTGGTAGGATGGTGGACTGGTAGGCACGACATCGTGGGTCGGCTCCTTTAAGCATGCGCTCGTTTTGCTTTTCCGTGAAATGCGACTTGAACGTTTGCGAACATTTTCGGGCTCTTGTTGGCCTTCTGCGGAGCTAACTTACATTTTTGGATTCCTGAAAAGATATTACAAGGGAATTTTCTCTCAATCTTATCCGGCCAAATAAGCTTTTGGAATGGTAGGCATGACATCGAGGTTCGATTCCTTGATGCATGCACGCATTTTGCTTTTCCATGAAAAGCGTCCTAAACGCCTGCAAAACGTTTTTGAGCTCAATATTGGCCATCTGCGGAGCTCCCTCACATTTTAGCATCCCAGAAAATAGTAATTTAGCGAAAATTTTTCTACATCAGTGATCAAATGGACATGCCTCCATATCCCATACACTCGAGATAGTGTTTTGAAATTTTTCTCAGCTCGCTACGGTTGGGGTAGAGGGCGGTCGAATGACTCATCCGACCAGGGCCCTCTGTGGAACAGGTTTCCAGAGTCGGGGAATATGTGCGTACTTTTGGAACGCTGTATCAAGTTAACTGTAACCGAGGGGCAACAGTTGATCTACTTATGTGCACAGATGACAATCCACTAATTGTCAAGGAATCGTTTCTCGAGGTGAATGTGATACCACGGCCACGCGGTACCGGCTCAACCCTGAGCCCACCTACAATTTGCTCTGAAGTTGGTATCTATGAGGTTTTCATTGTTAATTTTAGGCGTCATTAAGTGGAAATGACTGCAGTGCAGGTAAATACCTATACATATCCTCCCTTATACTCTATATACATAAAGCGTTGTGTGTCTGTCTGTTTGCACGGAAATTCGATATCACCTGATAAAGTACCTGCAGAAGTTTCAAGCCTAGGGATGAGCGGTCGTGGACATACAATGCATGCATAAGCATGCAATGCCCAACTGGTTATCACCTTTCCGATATTTCTGCTTATCTCCAGAGGCAGACAGATGGATCCGCTTGTTTTGCACCTGAAAGTTATAACCAGATAAGATATCGCAACTTGTCGAAAATAGACTAGTTCGAAAGCTGATTGTTTCTCTCCCTCACCCATAATTTCCGTAGATGATACTCTGAAGGGATGAGACAAGAAATGCTTCCTATGCACGACGAAGTACGGCTTCCTTTGGCACTTGAAGTATAGGCCATTGGCTCTTCTACCAACGCCATAAACTTGAAGCTCATGCCAAATCACAAAGTTGGAGGCTACGTTCCACTTTAGAATCTCTACATTTTTGCAAGTACAAAGCTGCGCTCGCGATGTGAGGGTCCATGGTCGCTATTATCAACAGGTGACGCAGAGGACCGTTGCGATCGCCCTTCACGCCCTCGTCTTCCTCGCCGAGATGATGAGCTTGTTTACATATCGTCGAGGGGTACGATTGGAGAGTTGTTTATTACCTTCCGTCCTTTTCTAGATGGTGCTCACGTTATGGTGCAAGAGCGAAGGTCATCCATCAATATGTGCGGTGACTCCACCTTCAGGCAGAATATTAGCATGTTGAAGAGTGTTTCATCCGATGAATCATTTAGCACCTTTCTCCTTCAGCCTTTGAAGCCCATTTTTAACAAATACTCGAAACTCCTTCGTTGCTCGAATGGAGCTCCTCCCTTAATCGGCTGGATAGAATTAAGAGAAAATTCTCTTGCAATATCTTTTCAGTATCTCTAAGATGTAAGTTAGCTCCGTAGAAAGCCAATAAGAGCCCGAAAACGTTCGCAAACGTCCAAGACGCATTTCACGGAAAAGCAAAACGAGCACATGCATGAGGGATGCGAACCGTGATGTCATGCCTACCAGTCCACCGTCCTACCAGCTGCGCCACCTTTGCACATTTGAGCTTTTGCTCGGTTCGGTGGTCTCTAGAACAGTTGTATAACACAGGGGGAACTAGACCCGTAACTCTGTTCCTAGAATCGTTTAGCAGATTCAGAACCCAGATTTGAGAAGAGCGTTCGGACCCACCTAGGCGGTGCACATCTCATTTGAATGTCCACTGCGACAAAGTATCCTTCCTTTGTCAGCTTCACCCACATCAGTGCAAATCCCGTTCCTTTGTTTTCTCGATGTCTGCGGTGAGGAGGATATAGAGCTAGATAGTCGTTCTCTTGCGAATAAATCTGTCAGAGAGGGCTGACTGTTTTTCTAAAGTAGCACTCCTCTCCAATGCTCAAGTGAAAAAGAGTATGGCGCAGAAAAGGAAAGTGGAGTACGGCAGTTTTGCTACAATAAATTGTGTGTCTATGTTGAATCATAATTAACCTTATCGTGATATCCTGATGTCTTGAGTGTTCCCCACTTGGACCTCGCCCATGAACAGAATACCTTTATTAGGGAGAACCTTCCGGCCGCGTCGCTTTCACCATAGCCTGAAAGCCGGAAAATAGTTGACATTTATCAAGATTAAATGACGTTTAGACCTCAGCTTGCTTCAATTATTGCTCATAGACATCTAGAAACTTCTCGCAAATTGCAACGGTGTTCAAAAGTAGACTCACCACAGGTGTTCAAAAGAAGACTGTCCACGCTCTATTCAAGTCATTTATTCAAACCTTTGAAGTGGGAGGGCCTCGAGTGCCCTTACCCCTGGCTTGATGTCGGTGGTTCGTAATTCAAAACCACAGACATCGAGAAATGGGACAAATCTCTTTCGTTATGCCTACTTTTTTTGGGGTTTTTCGCGCTAATTCACGATGCTTCGGTAGTTCGTGGACTTCATTTCAAGCTTCTGACTAAAACCTCAAACTCTACATCTTCGTTTTGATGCCTCCTATGGTTTTTTAGGGTCGTTCTCGATCCTTCTCTGAGATTTCGCTTTGGCCCATCACTTCCCTACGGAGTGGTCTGCCAGAACATTGGTTTCCCAGTGAATACCCATCAGAGGGAGCTACGTTCCTCCCTTTCCTTTTTGTCTTCAGAAACCTCAGCTCGAGCTTTATTTGCACGCTGAAGGGAAGGAAAGCACGTGCCTATGGGCTTACCCCGCGTGAAACGTATATTGTCAGCTTGATAAGAATTCGAAATACATGTCTATCTCCCTCTGAGTTCCGCAGGCGACGAAGCAGCGTCCACGAAACAGCATTGAAGTAGAGGCCAGCGATTCAAAACGGGTTATTCTACTTTCGACATGCAGTCAATGGCTGGAACTTGTGTCAGCCATTGGCCTATAGCTAATCCTCTGATCTGTTTGAAGTACCGCCTCAATCACCTGAATAAAAAGCAGTACAAACATTCCTTGTCTAATATCATTACTTGGGAGACTGAAACGCCGCACATATTTATTGACACGTATCTATATTTAAAAATCCGTGGGTGTTTTGCAGCCGTCTCTATTCGCTATATTCGTATCGAGGGAGGTCACGTCAAATAATTCTATGGGGTGGTTCCTTCCCAATCGACTCTTTCGCAATAGGTCAGGGAACTTCATGACTGCTGCGATGAGCGGGATGAATGTTAGTAACTGAGCCAGAACGGGGTTCAATGCAATAAAATTTTATCGGTAGGACCTTCCATGCTGCACATTGTAAGGCAGAACTAAAAGATCAAGGAGTTGAGTGAGGACAAGTTTTTTATTCAAAGTTCATGACTTCAACAAGTACTTAGAGGATCGGGCAGACTGGGAGGTCACACATACGTGTGCCTCCTGTCTCAAGTAGGTACACTGTCCATGCTACTTCTGAACGAACCGTTTAAGCGTCGGCACTGCCTTCTGCAATACTCCTTTAATAAAGACCGATGAAGGGTCATATCTCATCAGGATTGGACTACGGCAATGTCTAAATTCCGTGGCATAACCACAACTCGTCTTCCTTGTCGGTGACTAGAATTTCGGGTAACGGAACTTCTCCCCTATCGCGGCATTCTCCCTTGCGGCATGCGGCAAATGTCACCGCAATTACCGTACTTACCCTGCCTCCCCCCCCCCCCCCCCCCNCCCCCCCAATCGATAGGACGCGAAATTTTTCGTTGATTGCCTTGCTTTTCTATTAGAGTTTATCGTTTTTTCTTCTGTTTCTTTTTCGTTTTCACGTTTATTAGTTTTGATTAATTAAAATGACTCCTCCTATGTAGGCGGCTATCAAGACTGCATTGAAATTGAAGAAAGCGGTCAGCCAATCCAAATAATCAAAGGACTCCCTACCTCACAAATTGCGCGCTCCAATCTTCCATCGCAATCCTGCGATACGCGGCGAGTGCGGCGTGTGCGACGCCGTGTCAAGGGAGAAGTTCCCGGACCCTAGAATTTTGACGTTGTTGAAACCTCAAAGATCCCCAAGTTTGCTGGACCCACATTTTTGCTCTAAGGTTAAAAATGTGTCGTCAGAGACTGTTCCGCCTCAGGATTGCGAAAACTGTACTCAAGATTAGGCGGAACCTTACATCCAAGACGGCATTGAGGCTCTATGTGTAAAAGGATAATGATGGGGAGGAGTAGTTCAAACCAAGAGCTTTGCAGATACCTATAGGCTATGCTTGAACTAAGCTGAGGTCTAAACGTCGCCTGATCAAGATGGGTTCAAACACTTTTTTCGGTTCCCAGGATTTTACGAAAGTGGCTTGGCCAAAACGTCAACCTAATGAACGTTATAACATCGAGGAAAGGACGTTGGAGGAAATTACCTGCGACACTTGCAAGTGCCTTTCACCTTGTTTGCAGCCATAAACAATTGTATTTAATTGGTCTGCTTCTTCTAACCCTTGCACTTCAACTCATTACCGTTTATAAATCGGGTTGGAGCGATGATGACAAAATCGATGCATGTGGATGGACTGGAGAGGCTTCCTTTTTGATAGATCCTCTAACAATCCAGACCAGCACTTTTGTTATTTTTTTTTCTAATGGTGACGGTTTGAGCTAAACTATTCGCCCTCTGTTGCATCAAAGAAACATCACCATATCAACAAAACCTTAACATTCCAACAACTATGCAACGCTTTTCGAGCGAGAACTTTCATCAGTTCAGGTATTCCATTATGCTACCGAATTGTTCGAAGGATTGAAAGCATATCGCGGTGACGACGGCCGTATACGACTCTTTCGCCCACATCTCAACATGGAGCGCATGCGACAATCTGCCAGGCGAGCCGCTCTGCCAGACTTCGACGGCGAGCAACTTCTAGAATGTATCAAAGACTTGGTGAGATTGCCATTAACTCTCAATCAAGTTTTTTCTCTCAATGATTGTCGTTGTTTAAGGTTCGTGTTGATCAGGCCTGGGTGCCAGAAGAGAAGGGAGCTGCGCTTTATATACGCCCAACTTTGATTGGCACTGAACCATCGTTGGGTGTCTCTAACTCGAATAGCGCCAAATTGTTTGTAATCACGAGTCCAGTTGGGGCCTACTTCACTAACGGCTTCGCAGTACGTATTTTAACAGTCCAGAATCTTAGAATAAACTAGACGCTACTTTTTAGCCGATCAAGCTACTTGCCGATGCAAAATTTGCTCGAGCAGCCAGAGGTGGCGTCGGTGCATTCAAGATGGGCTCTAACTACGGCCCTACAATGAGCGTGGCAGCAGAATCTGTATCAGAAGGTTGTCATCAAGTGCTATGGCTCTCCGGGAAAGAACACTATGTATGTTGGTCAATATGAAGATTAATCAATATTTTTAGTGATAGCCTCACAACTCAAACTATAAATGTTGAGGATCGAGCTTATCGGATTCGTATACCTCTAACAACTTTGATGTTGCCTGAGGCGGTCGATGGATTATGTGGTTTTCATTTCCTCCCGATTGCTTATCAATCCACATAGTTCCATGCCATCGTCTGCCATTCACCGTAGATGTATATCAACGGTCATTTTCACTAGTTCTAACCAGAGAAGGATCCCAAGTTGAAGAGGCCGTTTGAAATGAGACCTGCACCCTAGATGTATTCGGATGTTGTTTTCAAATCTGCTTTCCGAATTCGCCAAGCGATTCTCTCAATGGAGTTATGAGGTGATTTAGGGAGGTCTGATGTGAGCGAACTTAAGTTATTACATGGATGTTACAAGCTCACAAGCAGTGGATTGGAGCAGCGGTTAGGGTAACGCTTCATAATCGAGAAACTAGGATTCGGGTTTTGTGGTAGGGAGGAATTTTGCATTGTATTCAATTTTTTCCTTGAGGCCCAGAAAGTCCTTTGATGTTGATTTTATCGTGTTCTACGGCCTTTTGATAGTTGTGGTGACAACGTTCTCATCGAAAACATGCAATATCGCTTCCTTTTTTTCGCATGTAGGCGAAAACAGAATTGTGTAAGCCGGCTAAAATGACCGTGGTGGTGCTTAAGTAGCAGGCGACGTGTCATGGATAAAAAATAAAGTCTCAAAATCTAAACCACACTGAAAGTAGATAAGTGATAGTAAGCCAAGTCTCGAGTGAATGAACAAAAGATTACAGTGGGAGTATGTAAAGTGATGATCACATTTTCGAACGGCCAAGAAATGAGTGTGTGATTGGCTGTATTGACCCCGTGTTACGGGTTGTTCATTACCTTCACCTCCTTTTGTAGAGATAAGTGTTCGGAGCCACCACGCACGATCGCACACACTCTGACACCATGAAAGACTTCTGACCTATACGTCATCAATGAAAAGGCAAGGGATAATAGCGAAAGAGTGGGTGGTTGCAGAGAGCAGCCGCATTACTTTATCTACTTTCCTGCGATCTCTAGGGGCCAGAGATTGCATAGTGTGCATATCGTTCTGAATTCCATCGTGAATACAGGGGACCGACAGAATCAAGCCTTTGGAGATAATCGATTGTGCCCCTGCTTTCCATTACAAAAATAGTGGCGTGCAGAATGCGTATATGGTCTATGCAGTGATTCGCGGCGACCATCCGATGTACAGGTCAGTGCTTTCACCCGACCAGATGAGTCTGGTACCAATTAGCCGACCCCAAAGGGATGGAAGGCTTGGTTGGCCCACACATAGTTACATCTCCGGACCAGCCGTGTATGATGGTACGCCCCTGCTGCTACACCGCATTCGCCCCTTTGTGAATGTAGCGCGGATACACATGAAAAAAAATTGAAGCGATATTGCATGGTTAGGGTAAGAACCTCAGCACCACAACCATTAAAAGGTCGTAGAACACGATAAAATCAACATCAAACGAATTTCTAGGCTTCAAGGAAAAAAATCAACACAATGCAAAATTCTCGCCTACCACAGAACCCAAGCCATGAACTTTCGATCAGAAAGCGTCACCCTCACCACTGCTCCACTCCGCTGCTCGTGAGCTTGTCACATCCATGTAATTTAAGTTCCTCCTTGAAACCATCTCTTAACTCCATTCAGAGAAGCGCTTGACAAATTTGAAAAGCAGATTTGAAATCAGCATCCGAAAAAACATCTAGCAATGTAGGTCTCATTTCAAACGGCCACTTCGACTTGGGATCCTTCCCTGGTAAGTCTAACAGGGAAGGAGAATAGGTGGCAGTGGCCATTCAAGATGAGGTATATACCGTCGTAAGTGTTTTCAAACGGTGGTTCCAAATCTGAGTTCCAAAATGCGAAACGATTCTGGCCCTTTTTTGAGCCTTTTCCCCGGCTTCTGCTTTTATAGGCGACCCGAGCAGTTCCGAACATGAGTGATGGCCGAGTTGGGAGAACGATGGACTGGTAGGCGCAACACTGAGGTCCGAATTCTTGACGCATTAGCTTGATTTGCTTCTTTTATAAAAAGGGTCCGGAACGCTTGCAAAACACATTTACTTATCACATAGACCACTTAAAGCCCTTCTTCATATTTGCGAAGCACCAAAATATAATACGAGTAAAATTTTTTGTGGTCTCCACTGACCAAATAAGGAACAGTTCACTAAAAGTTTGGGGTATCCGGTTTTTCACGGATAATGAAAGATACGGCCTACAGTAGTACAACAACTAAGAAGAAAACGCGAAAATTGACATTCACAAAGAAATAAAAGAGAACAAAAGACTAGTGAAAAATGGTGTTGGACGAGTTTGTGGCAGAAAAAAGGCAGCGCTTGCAATTGCGTACAACACACACAACAGCTCATTTCATTTTCTTCGCTAATCGAATTTACACCCCTGGTATTATTCCGCTGAATTCTTCCGTATATTCAATTCGGGGTGCAAGTAGAACCCTTCCGCTCTGGGCACTTAAGAAGTGGTCACGAAATTCAACAGTTTCATGCAATTTCGACAGAGGGCGTCCGGGCAACTCTCAGATCATTGCGCTTTTGGATGAAGTAGTGCCCTCTCTAGAAAGTAATAGAAGTGAGCTGATACAATTCAGCTGACATTTTTATGAAAAGTTCTGTCGGAATAATAGATGAGCATTTTATGAACAGATATGGGGATCCAACACAAGAGAGTGCATATGAGGAATAGTTCATCACACCCATCACTCTTACAGTTCCCGTCTAGATGAAATGAAAAACATTACTGAACTGGAGTTCCGAATTTTCCCTGGTCTGTATCCAGGTACCCTGCTGCAAACCATGAATGAAAAAGAAGTCTTTGAATCTAGGCGTACCAAACAAGAAGTATACTGGGGACATGAGGCGAATTATGGAGTTGCGGTTGCTAACGTGGAAGTCCAGATCATGTGGAAGTACGAAAGAGACAATACGCTTATACATGGCTTTGAATGGTAGGAAAAAATGTAGGGGCTGAATGTAGGGGCATCGAGAGGCTAAATTTGGGGAATTAACCCCGGTAGAACGTTGAGCACATTCACCTGCTTGCCAGTTGGCAGAACACCCTGAATCACTTCATAATCCTTGAACGAGCTCCATGAGTCGACGATCAGTAGGGTAGAAGGCAAATCTGTTGATTCAACGCATGATCTAGCCCAATCCAGGTTCTTTGCTCATCGCGTGGATTGTGCTGACCCTAAACTCCGGTCCGAAGCGTGAAACAAATGCGATACGGCCACTTTTGGGCAGAACATATTGTGGTAATATTTTGGGAGCACGTTGATCGATTGAATGTTTTGCTCGTCAGTTCCTTTCGAATCCTCCAGATCTTCTTAAAATTTCGCAAATCTATTCTGAGCAAGGCTTTCGCAGCTCTTTTCTGCTAGACTTATAGTACACCCGTATTCGCTCTGTTTATCAGCATTACTGGTACTTCACAAATATGAGGGAAGGATGTAAGTGGTCTATATAATGCGTAAATGCGGTTTGCAAGCGTTTAGAACACTTTCTATAAAAAAGCAAAACAAGCAAACGCACCAACGATTCGAAACTCCGGCTCGCGCCCACCAGTCCATCATCCTCCCAACTCGGCCATGCCCGCATGTTCCTAACTGCTCGGGTCGCGTATAAAAGCAGATCCTGGGAAAAAAAGCTCATAACTTTGTTCCCAGAACCGTTCCGCAGATTTGAAAATCAGGTTTGAAATATACCGACGCAAGGAAACATGTCAACATTTCGTCTTGAATGGCCACTGCGACCTAGTATCCTTCTCTTGTGGGAACAGTGTCTCGTTTCCTCGCAAGTACAGCACTTCAATCTTTCTGCAAATTTCCTTTCAACACTTTGCGGAGCGGCTGCGAATGTGTGCCTTTAGTTGAACCATTATTTTGAATTTTTTACATTCGGTTCGGTTGAATTTCTCGAAAACCTCTGAGAGATCAACTACAATGTTTCCATCACAATATTGTGTTGAAAGATAAGATGGGCAATATCCTACTTTATATAATTCGCTAAGTGTGTCTGTTGGTGTGTCGGTGTGTGTGTATGTAAGTGTGTCGGTGTGTGTGTGTGTTTGACAGGAAATTCATAGCTCCTGTTCCCGTAGACCTGCAGAGTTCAAATATGGTAGGAGTTCGGGGGGCGGGATGGGAATACTCATGGTANACCTCGGCATTTCGCTAAGAGATGTAGGACAGGACGGGATCGTAGGTACTCGGTGACAGAAATGGTGACAATCGATAACAGACGATAAGGGGCCTAAGAGAGCAAGAGCTACCTACCGATCAAAATTTTAACCATGTTTCATTCGATAAGATGAGATGGTAGAGTAGGGTGACAAAAGAAGTGGTAAGTGCAGTTATAAGGACCCATCAGCGGCATTACGATAACTTGAATTAGAGTAAGAGCTTTGTTTAACTCTTGCTATTAGATTACGACCGCTATCCAGCAAGGTTTGTGATTTAAAGGCACCGTTCATAAAAAAGTTAGGGTACCCTTTTTTGACGGGAATTGATAGAACTACTCTAGAATAAAGCGATAATAACGAAAAAAGCGCAAAAAACGATGAACAAAAAGAATTACAAAGTGTCAAAAAAAGAGCTGGAAAGGGGGGTTGGACTAGTCTCACATTGAAATAACGGCGGTTAGGGAGTGTTCGGGCGAGAATGCACGAAGGCGACGCAATGTCTGCAATACAGACAACACACCCGAACAGCTGATCGGATTTCTCCCTGCTATTATTATCTCCCTGGAATACTTACCTCATCCATTCGACGACGGCAGGCAGGGAATACTTAGAAGAGAATAGCGCAGAATAATAGTAGAATAATAGAAATAACAGCTGAATACTAGCTCCTGTACGAGGCGGTCGACCAGCTGACCATTCCTGGCAATTTGCCAATCAGCGTATCGGTTTTTCACCAACTTCGCTCCAGTTCGAATGTGGTGAAGGACAATTTGAACTCGTAGTCAGCCTAGCGAGGGGCGGAGGCTTGACGTCCCCCACTGTTCCTGCCCTTATTGTGCCCTATCCAGCCGTTTTTCGGCCTTATTCCTGCACAAATGGTATCAGAGGGGCTTCGAATTCAAACCACGTGCAAA